GTCTAAGAGAAGTTTGTCTGCAATTTCGTTAACCTCTGTTACTCTATATTCTTGACTTGCCATGTCTTTTTGGAATTCATCAAATTTTCTTTGTAATACTTCGACATGTTCTAAATCATGTCCAAACTCATCGGTGGTTACAAATGCTTCCTTATCATGTATCCAAAACATGACTTCATCGCAGTGTCTTATAAATTGGACAAGTACTAAAGCCTGTTGCAATTTCAATCCCTTGTCGGCTAATCGTGACAATAATAATTCCCATAAGTCATGAAGTTCCTCTGTAAAAATTCAAAGTGTATAATGAATAAGTATTTTAAAGTATATTATTAATCATGATTTATAGTAGAAAAATCAGTGATCTATATTTACCTAATCTTTTACGAATGACATCGCTAGAAAAGTGATGTTGCGCTATCATCTCAGAACCAGTATTATCAAGTAACACGATAGCATTGGAATGAGCAGCGACTTCTGCTTCGAAAGCTTGATGCTTTTGAATCTTGGCTTGCAAATTAGTTGGATCTTTATAACTTTCATCTGATGCTGCTTGTAACTTTTCATATATCCATCCCTCAAGTTCATCCGCATCTCGCTTAAAATACTACAAGCAAACCAAATAATTAGGTCATCCAAAAAATACAAAAATAAGGATATCAATTGTATACCATATCTTAAATAAGAAAAATAGATCTTGTAAGTAATTAAAAATATATTACTTGAAAGCGACGGGAGTCCTCGAGTTTGTCTCGTTTGCTACGAGCTTCCGCCTTGAAATTGGCATAACGTCCAAGAACTTGTTCACGTCTTTCTTGAATATCTTCTGGATTTTCCAGAATTTCCACTACCTTCGGTGTTATCTGATCCATCTTTGTAATATTCCTTAAATGTCGTCAAACGTCTTTAAAAATGGATATCCACTTGCGGCCAAGATGGCCGTAGGGTGTGGCTTTCAGYTCGTTCGTTCTCTTCAAAAATCAACAATTCCTTTATCTGAAAAATAATTATTGTTAACAATATAGATTCACATAACTTCTATACTTTCTTTTGTTTAATTCATTTTTACGAATGATGAATAATATCGAATAAAAATACGCACTTTCTTCGTATGTTCCAATAACTCGCGTAGATCCGTTACTGATGCGCTCTTTCTGCATAGTGACGTTTCGAGGAAACACACGTAACGGTGCGGCTAATACGTGATTGGTCGATTTATTTCCTACTCTACCATCCTAACCTTACCTTAGTTCAATAGGTCAAATACACATTGCTTAAATCTCTCTTTACATACATATATATATATATATATATATATTAGAATGTACATAATACATATACAGAAGATGCATACACATACATACACAACATGTAATTATGATTATGATGTTACGTTATCTTTAAAACTTACGTCATATATCTACATATATATGATGTTTCCGAAATAAGTAAGATGATAATATTTATTTTTATCGTTTTTTAATTGGATTATTATGTCTTGCTCATTTAAAATATTGATGTGACATTGATATATAATTAATGATAGCATCTTTACAAAGTTAATTGGGAGCGCGTAATTTAAAATTCGTGTTAGATTTTTCTTCATTTAATTTAAGTAAGTTTCCTCGATTAATTTAGAAAAATTATATATCCGAATATTTACATAATATTTTTCAAAAATACAACTATATTTATTGATAAGATAATATAAATATTTTAAAAAAATATTAAAGCGTTGGACGAATCAAAATGAGCAAGCGACAAATTTTGAATTTCGCGCGGAAATATTCAAATGTGTAGGCGGTAATACGAAATTTTTATGACAGTTGTTTAGTTATACTTTAACACCCTTAACCTACATATAATAGAAAGAAAAATAGAGGAAATAAAAAATTAAACACAAGTCCACTGTTACGTTATGGTACAATAATCTTTTATTAAATTTCACCTACAAACAACGAATCACAGAACGTTACATTAGAGTTCCTTACATCAATCCATCGTGTCTTCATAATATTTTACAGGTAAATAATTATATATTTTTATCCCTATTACAGTAAAATCTTATTCGTTAAAATATCTTGTAGCGTAGTCAATCATTATGTGTGTGTATATATATAAATTTAATTTACCTAAAAATATGATTTTTTGTTGTAGTGTTTTCATTCATCGTTTATAAGTGTCTGCTATATCATGTATACAAGTGGTACGCGTTAGGTATAGGTACTTGCTTTTGTCCATTGTACTCTGATATTTTTTTTGTTTTTGTTTTTTTATATTCTTCCCTTTTCTTCTTCTATTTATTATTAATTTTTGTATGAATATGCATATTATATATATATATTCAATGGTTCCATATTTATTGTATAGAAAAATGATTATTTCAAAAATCTTCATATGTCAAAAGACTTTCTATTCGTCGACAAAAATTTATAAGATTTATTAAACAAGGATAGTACTAACCATTTCTTTCATTTATTTATTTTCATATTCTTCATCTTTAAGTACCTGGACAAAGTAATGGTATTACAATATAAATCGCTAAAAGTTTTATGTTTTATTCTTTTTTTTACTTTTCATATTTTCTCTACCTTTCTCTTCTTCCCTTTCTTTCTTTCTTTCTTTCTATCTTTCATTCTTTTCTTTTCTTTTTTTATTTTGTTAAAAGGCAACATGTCTTTGTTAATACAAAAAGGCAATTTGCTTTGTATCATCGGTATATACGGCGTCCCCCAACGAACATTTATGATTTTTTTTTTCTTTTTTTTTTTAAACGATACTGAAATATATTTTGTTTCAAAGTGGCAAATGTAAGGGACCATTTTACAGGCATTATTGGCAGCACTGGATCACTTTGTGTATATATATATATATTGTGTACGCGTGTGTGTATGTATATGTTTTTGTTTCACTGTATTTTTTTGCATATCTTCTTGAAAATATTCCATTCCAACGTTAAAATCATTAACGACTTATGTAGAACTTCAGAGAGCATTTTTGTCTTAACGTTTTGCACAACATACTCTCTGATTTGTTACAGTTATTTATTTATTTGTTTATTTATTTATATATATAATTTTTTTTTTTCACTTCCCATTGTCTCGCGCAGTCACGAAAAATATTAAACTAGCACATACTTTTCTTTTCTTTCTTTCTTTCTTCCTTTCATTCTATTTTTTTGTTTGTTTGTTTGTTTATTGGTTTTATATCTTTCGTAAGTAATATCCTCTTTCTCTCTCTCTCTTTCTCTCTCAACGAATTCTTATGTACAAAAGAAACTTAATTAATATACAGAATACACTTGCATTCATACGTACGTAGCCGCCGCCATCTTCGTAGGGGCGTCCAATAAATTAAATTTTTATACTCTAAATTATTATTATTAATATTAATATTATTATTATTATTATTATCATTATTACTATTATTATTATTATTACTATTATTATTAATATTATTATAATTATATTATCTTATATTATCTTATAATAATATTAATTAATTATTCTAACATTATTATCCTTAACAGTAACATTATTTTTCTTCTTCTTCTTCTTCTTCTTCTTATTACTATTATTATTAATATTAATAATAATATTATATTTCTTATTATACACTTTCCCCTTCCCCAAACTTTAGAAAGGTTCATCTACAATTAGAAAAAAAGTACGATGTCCTCGATTTCTACTACTTAAATAGTAGTAGTACACTAGTGAGTATGAACAAATCGGCGAGTGTGCGTTAAATAGCTACAATTCGAAGTATTTTATTTGTTACATCATCGAATATACGAATAATCGATGATTAATTACAAATTACAATCAACGTTCGCAATGTATTATACATCGGTATAAAAAGAAATCTTATAAATTATATCAGTGTTAAATTGTATAATTCATTTGAATCGTGATCACATTGGTAGTTATTTTAAGATTTAGCAAGTCGTATCATGAATTTATGAATTTCACGCTTTAACACTATATATATATGTATATGTATATGTATGAAAAAAAGTTCAAAATGTTGGAACGCGTTTTATATATAAAATTCGAGACATCGTACGAGACGGTGAAGCATCTTTAACTTCCACACATTTATCATCCTTCCTTTTTTATACTTTTACATGTACACACACCTACACATCGACGCGACGGAAAATCGTCTCTCATAGACTCATTAACTTTCCTCTTTAACTTTCCTCCCTTTCCCCGATATCCCACCCCTGATTTGCTCTACATAACATACAATATATATATATTCATATAATATATATAATATTCAATAATATTTATATGTATATATATATATAATATATTTATTTATTTATTTATTTATTTATTTATTTATTTATACTTAAGAGATATACATGTTTTTTGTTTTGTATTTTTTTTTTTTATATATATATACACTGATGTTTAAATGTCTCCGTTTCAATAATATTTATGAAATCAGTAACACTAAGTTTTTTTTGCTAAATAACATTCTTGGACCTCATTTTGTATATAGCCAGCACCTTACGTTGTTTAACCTTCAGCTCGAACGGAAGAGTTATCATCCATCCCTTCGATTATATTTAAAAAAATATAGTCTCTCTACCCCCTTTTCATCTTCTTATCCTCTCTCTCTCTCTCTCCTCTTTCTTCTTTTCCTCTTCTTCCTCCTCCCTGAGCTCGCTCCGCTAATTTTTTTTTTTTTTTTTAACGGACACATTATCTATTTCTTTAAAGGGAAAAGTTTCCTCTTTCTCGTCCCCTTCTCTATTTCAATTTCTTGATCACTTTCAAACTTACGCGCCCCTTTCGTTCTCTCTCCCCCCCCCTCTCTTTCTCTCTATGTCTTTCTCTCTGTCTTTCTACTTTTCAAGTCTCTTCACAGCCCTCATTTCGTTTCGCATTTAAAAACTTTTCAGGTTTTATTTAAACGTAACTTCGCCACGTCACATATAACAATTTTCTAGATAACATATATAATCATCTAATATATAATAAATAATTTATCTCTTTTATCCCCGATATACAATTTTTGCATACTACACTCTCTCTCTCTCTCTTTCTATCTTTTATCTTTGTTTATTCATTCTCAATTAATAACGACTGCCATATATGTAAATATAAGAACTAAATTTTGTACAAATTTGTAAAAGAGTCGAAGAAGACATTCGTAACTGCATCATATGCATTTACGATTTATGTCTATACGTAGGAGGTATGCATATATTATATATTTTGTATATACGTGGACGTTAGTTAATTAGATTGATTACTTTTTATATTTCATTCTTTTCAAACTATTTCCCTCATTAGCATAATCTATATATCGTAACCCAACAAACATACGCTCACGCATACACATACATACGTGGACGCAAGTAATAATGATCACGCACGCACACAGCCAAGAACAATGTATGATTTTTTATGTTTCTTTTTTTTTCTTTCTTTTTTCTAACAAAGGAGAAAGACCAAAAGGAGGACGATACGATTAGAGAGAACTATATATATAACGATTATGTCGAATTATTTAGATATTTAGATTTTATTTTGTTGTTGTTGTGAAAACATCATCAATATCGTCACATTCGATTATTCTCTCGTAAAAGTTTGAACCGTATAAAAGGGGATAGAAGAGAAACGTATGAAGTTAGTAGAGAGGGGCGAGCTCTTGTTATTTTACGATTTTTATATAGGGTGTCCGGCAGCAGGTCGTCAATGGGACGTCTTCAGCATAAATAATAAATCATTGATACACTCCACTGGAGGACAATGATATTTTAAGAAAAATGAAGTTTACAAGGTAGCGGTAATTTCTTCCTCCTCGTCTTCTTTTTCTTTTTCTTCTTCCTCTTCTTCTTCTTCTACCTCCTTCTCCTTCTTCTCCTCCTCCTCCTCCTCCTCTTCCTCCTCGTCGTGTTAGTTTAACATATTCATTTCTCGAGGAACAGCAACGAGACCTATCTCACGCGCCCGTACAGTCGATCTCTATTATATCCTTGGGTACGTCGACAAATTGATATACCAATCTCTGTCCGTCGACCTTCGCCAAAATGCCACGTTGATAATAGTATCTCAAGGCGCGACCCATCGTCTCGTAATTCATGTCAGGCTTGTTCTTATGCAAACCCCAGAGTCTCGATACTGCTTTACTATCAACCAATTTAAATACTCCTCTCTCGCGATTCGTCCATTTAATATATCTCGGACAATATTCACGATCTTGTAACAATTTCAATAGAAATTCCCATAGATACGTTGTAGAACCTTCTCGGGATTTTCTTTTAACTGTAGCACCTTCTCCTTGGCGTGGTTTCTTCAATTTGTTTTTCTTCGAACGTGGAGGAAAACCAAGTTCCAAAAGATAAAGATCGTCCGACACAGAACTCGTCGCTGCTTGGATTACGCTAGTTGGTACTCCACCGGGTCCTCTTGGTGGACTCGGTGTACAAGGTGTTGCGAATTGTCCTCCACCACCGTACATTGAGTTTACGTAACTGCTATAACTCTCCGATACTGTAATGAGAAAAGATAACAACACTTTAGTATAATCATTCGTTTGACGAAAATTATCAAATCAAAATACACGATAAAAAATAAATCACATATGTACATTCGAAACTCAAACTTTCCCCGCTGATAAACCAATAGTTACGCAATAGCGCGCCTAGATAGCGCCACCTGATTCAAAAATTCAAATTTCAAAATTATAACTACACACATATTCTCTTTCGCCAATCCCCTTTTTATCAATCAATTAACACGTTTTTTTTTAAAGCTTTTTTTATATTTGAAATATTAAATATGGTAACTTTTTAACTTTCAAGGCCAATTCGTATATTTCAATAATTACAATAAATCAAAATAATCATACCGAATTAGGATTCAATTGGATCTATCACGCGGGTTCGTTTATGAATGTCAAATATTATTATTTTTTAATAGTGAATTGAAAAGAAAAACAAAGCATTCATAGAATAGAAAGAGAGAGAGAGAGAGAGTTTTCGCGCCACGACTTTGGATATATGGTCGCGGTTGAACGTGCAACGAGAAACACACTATTAATAGCCCTTCTCCACGGACACGATCGTCGCCGACGGCGACGGCGGTGTCCTGCCGTCGTTTTCTGTCGCCGGATGATCGATGTTTCGAGAACGCGTTGGCCGGGCTCGATAACGGAGCCCCTTTTTCCTGTTTACTCCCCCATCGATCCTCCCCGCGTTCTCTAACTCTTTCTCTTTCTCTCTCATTGTATGTGCATGTTTCCCTCTTTCTCTTTCTATCATTCTGTCTGTAGGTCCGTCTTTCTTCTGACAATGATTTTGTCCATCTTTTTTTAACAAAACGACGAGAACAAACCGACTATTCTGGTTGAACCAGGAGGAGAAAGAGTTAGAGGAGTAAAGGGTTGGGTTGGGATGGGATGGGATGGAAAGGGAAAGGGACGAGGAGGGAATGTAAAAGGAACGCGGATGAAAGGGGAAAGAGGAAAAGGAAAGAGGAACGAGGAGTCGAATTCACGATCCGTAGACGACGGAAACATCGTTTATGGCCGCGTGCCGGTTCGATCCCGGGTGTCAGGGTGTTTGTTGCTTGTCTCTTCCTTCGGTGCACCCGTACTCTAACGATACGAGTTACTTTCTCTCTCTTTCTCTCCTTCTGTTTCTCTGTACGATTTGTCTTTTAAGAGAAAGAAAAAAATACAAATATGTATCTCGTGTGTATGAAAAAGGAGGAAGGGAGGGAGGAGGCGTGGCATCAGAAACGTACGTACGAATAAAAAAAAAAAAAATAGAGAGAGAGAGAGAGAACGCATGCATTGCAATAAGAAAAAAATAATTTCATTTCATTTTTCAACTTCTATATAATCTCGACTTTGAAACGTTCGAACGATTGATAGTACTTGCTAATGTGAAATAACATTACGAACATCGAACGACAACAACGACAACGACAGCTAACTGTATTACTCATCTCTCTCTCTCTCTCTCTCTCTCTCTCTCTCTCTCTTTCTCTTTCTTTCTTTCTTTATATTTAGTACATGACAAGCAAGGTTACCCTGCGAATAGGAAACGTTTTATACATACGCCACTGACCGCGTGTGGTCAGTGCCTTTACATGTACATAAGCGTGGGTACGTGTATAGAGAGCACTGCAAAATGAAAAGAGAAGAAAAAGAAGAAGAAGTTAGAGAAACGGATAAGAATCTGAGAGAGAAAGAGAGAGACAGAGAGTGAGAGGAGGTGAAGAGAAAAAGGAACAACGGAGAGAGAGAGAGAGAGAGAGAGAGAGAGAAGAGGAAAGAACGAGAAAGAGAGCGGATTCTGCCTGCAGTAGTATGATAGAGGACTGACCCGAGCCAAGGTTGCACGGGTGACGCCATCAAGCCGCTACTAGTGCATAATAGCGCCGCGACTGCGCTAAAATCGGAACTCTGCGCTTTCACCCCCTTCCTCTTCTACTCCTCCCTTTCCACCACCCATACCTCCTCCTCCTCCTCCTCCTCCTCTTCATCGTCATTCTCGGAGTCTCCTCTCACGCTCCTCCCAACCCTCATTCCAACGTTCTCTCTCATTCCTCTCGTCCAACACCGTATTTCTTTTCGTTCGTTCGTTCGTTCCTTCTTTCAACCCTATTTTACTATACTTCTTTCTAATCATCTCAATCTCATTGCAATTCTTTGGGGACTCTGGGAGGGAGGAGTTGAGCCTAGTTAGAGCTTTTGATGTTTCTTTGGAATTTTATATTCGCGAAAGCTTCCTGACTTTCTCTAACTTTTGCTTTAAAAAAATGAAAGACAAAATTGATAGGAGAGTACAGAGAAAGAGAAATTGGGAAGTAAAAGGGATGAACTAAGGGAAATATACAAAGATAGTTTAGCAAAAAAGGGAAGGTTTGGATTTTCGAGGTGGCTCTAAAAATAAAGAGAGAGAGAGAGAGAGAGAGAGAGAACGCTCCGTTGTTCTTTCGAACTATGTGGTGCACATAGACACACACGTATGTACGTATATTGTGTATGTATAAGAGAGAAAGAAAGAAAAAGAGAATGTGGTTGTGCGAATGAGATAGAAGAAGAATGACGAAGAGAGAGAATGACAATGAGAATGAGAAAGATAGAACACAGCTGAAGCGGACCGTGTTTACGCGCGGTATGACTGGCTAGATGAGTCAATCTCGTAGACCCGTTGTCTAGGAGGTCTCAAGTGGGGGAAATACTACTTCACTGACCTATACCACAGAGAGGCGATGTAAAGAGAAAGAATGGGAGAGAAAAATGGATGAAGAGGAACTCGCAACGAATGTTGCGACCTTACTTTTTTGTTTTCAAGGTAAATGTACTCTAATGAATAACAGCAAATAATATTTATAATCATTAACAACATATATATAGATGTATATTTCAAATTTGTCTATAATGTTGACTCGATCAGTTATACTGCAGTCATATTTCGATATTGGTTACTGGTTTTAATTGTAAGAGAACAGACAAGTTGATCGGTTTTAAAAGCACAGGGAATTGAAGCAAAACGAAAGAGAGTAAGATGATTTTACGCGTCCGTGTATATACTGTGTGTGTGTGTGTGTGTGTGTGTGTGTATGTGTATAGATGATGTGGGATGGAAAGCATATCGATGGTGTCTGTTAGTAGCAAGTGAGGAAGAAGAGTAGTAGAACAAGAAGAAGAATAAGAAGACGAAAAAAAAGGAAGAAGGAGGAAGAGGAAGAAGAAGAGGAGAACGAGGAGGAGGAGGAGAAGGAGGAAAAGGAGGAAGAGAAGGTTGAAAAGAAGAGGGAGAAGAACAGCCGAAAGTATTCGACGACGGTATAAACAAAGCGATCATGGATCACGAATCCCTCGGAGCTGGTGTGTAGTCTTGAGGCGTGCAACATATAGCGGTGCATATATATATATATATATATATACAGTGGAGGAGGAAAAGGAAGAGAGGGAAGAGAGGGAAGAGAGGGAAGAGAGAGGAGATGGAGGGAAGTAGGATAAAGATGGGCCATGGCGGTGTGCGTTGGTGCAAGGGAGAGGAGGAGGGGACAGGGTGGCAGGGTGCAAGCGGGAGATGCGATGGTGTTGGTATTGATGTTGGTGTTGGTATTGGTATTGGTGTTGGTGGTGGCGGCGGAGGAAGAAGAAGAAGAAGAAGAAGAAGAAGAGGTGGAGGAGGAGGAGGAGGAGGTCGAGAGAAGGGGAGAGTTGACCTTCAGCTGCGCCGGGAAAGTCAGGCAGTCACTGACCGACAGACTAACTTAACTGCTCTATCCTTCTCCTCCTTCTCTCTTCTCTCCACCTCCATTCGCGAGCGGCTAGTCCGATGCACCGTGCTACCATCACGCATACGTATATATATACGTATCATATGTATGTGCATATATGTATATATATGTATAGACGCAGAGAAGAGAACACACGATGAAGGAACTTGGTGTTCACGGACGTCGACGACGCGACAAGACGTTCCTTCTCTCCTCTCTTCTTCTCTCCTCATCCCCTTTTTCTCTTCTTCTCTCTACCTCCTCCTCCTCCTCTTCCTCCTTCCTCTTCTCCTTCTTCTTCTTTCCCCTCAACTCTCCTTACTATATCTCGTCGTCAACGTCCTCATGTCTTGGTCGTCTTCGTTCTCTGCCGATGCTTCTTTTCTCTCTTCTCTCCCTCTTTCTTCTTCATCTTTTTATTTTTTTTTTTACTGCCTTTTACCTACACCCTTTTCTTACTCTTCATCCTGCTCCTCATTCTATCTTTCTTACTCTCTCTTTCTATCTTTCTTTCTTTCTTTCTTTCTTTCTTTCTTTCTTTCATTCTAGACCTAAAGTAGCCCTTCCTCTTTTGCTCCTCCCTTCCTACTTATTCTTTCTCTTTTTCTTTCTCTCTCTCTCTCTCTCTCTCAGTCTATTATGTTACCCCACTGCTTTGAGCTACTATCTTTAACCCCCCAAAACTCGTTGAAAATCGTCAACTCTCTTTTACACTCAAGTGTGTATATACTTTTCTTTCTCTTTCTTCTCTTTTCTTTGAAAATAAAGAGAAAGAAACTTATCCGGAAAAGAAGGAACAAAATTTGGCAGATCTCCATGTAGCGATATACGTAGAAAGAGACACGTACGTAAGTCGAAAATGAAAATTCGAGAGGAAACTTGCTCGGCCTATCTGTTTTCATCGTATTAATGTTATTCGCGGTTACCGACGAGAATGAAAAAGACAGGAAAAAAGATATATAAAAAAAAAAAAAAGAAAAAAAAGAGAGAAAGAGAGAGAGAGAGAGAGATAATCACGTTCCAGACTACACAGGCGTGGTTTTTCTTCTACGCGACTACCTTGACTCGTAATAAAGCGTACAAAAGACAGACTTTATACTCCCCCTACCTTACCCCGATCGTCGTGTCGGTTTCACGAATCCGCAATGACCGCATACCTTCCTTCTTCTCTTTTTCAACTCTTTTTTTTCATTTTTTGTTGTTGTATTCGAGGAAAAACTTACGAAAAAGAAAAAGAAAATAACTAAAGA